AAAATGAGTTAATCCAAAAAGATTCAAGGAATCTTACTTGAGAATCTCGTTGAGACAACAATGTACTAGAATTTGAATGTACTCCAGTTAGAGTTAGAATAGAAACCACATTGCCATTCTATCAGATTTGTTGAGGCAATGAACTCTAAAATTGGAGCAATCAGAGGTTAAACTGCAAAAGACAGGAAATAATTGATAAGAAAATCATTTTTTTCTTTGTTTGATATCTTAGATGCTCTTAATTTGGAAAAAAAAAAAAGACAAAAAAGAAAGAAAGATGCTCTTAATTTAAATTAGCTAGCAAGGAAATAAACAGCTACTCTTGTTGGATTGGACGAAATAATTCAAAGCTAGCAACTCACTAATGCATGTACCTTGTTTTTTCGGCCGAAATGCATGCACCTTCAAAATTCAATCATTGACTTGTCTTCCCAAAGTAGTGTTCTATTTGCAAGCATCTTGAGATTGCAAACTTGTTTTGGCTCCATTTTTCAGTCTCTTTCAGAGACCTGATATCTCCCTATCATCCTGAAATGACGGATGTACGAGGAACGCATCACGTGCTATTTACAATATGCAAGTACCTGATCCATGAGCATGACTAAAAAATGAAAAATAGAAAATGAATCAGGCCACCATACTGCTCAAAAATTCCATGTGTGTGATAATGTAAAAATGTGTTTCAGCAAAATAGCAAGAAACTCAACCAACTTGTGATTGAAAACAATAAAATGGAAGTAGAATTCAAGGGAGTATTTCTTCCAACTAAATGGCGAAAAGATCAAGTTTACAAACTCACCAATGAAGGTTGATTCATAGACTGCATAACTTTAATTCTACTACCTCTCCCATCAGCGCCAACAGCAATCAAATCTCCACTATTTGCAGTTGAACCATGTGCAGTTGCCCCTGTCCCTGTCATCTTGCCACGCTTGCACCATTTCCCCAAATGCCACTTTGTTCCATCAGGACTTAGCAATCCACCAGACTCCAGAGAAACATATATTCCCTTAATTTTCTAGAAGTCCCAAAAATAATGAAATGAGAACTACTCTAATAGCAACTTACTTAAGTAAAGAAACCATATGAAAAGTAACAGTAGAACTCCGAGTGAACTCACATTGGAAGAGTACAGTACCTTGTTCAGTTGTGAAAGCCCAACTACATTAACTGGCCTGTCAACAATGTATCTTCTCCATTGCTATCAGAATCTTCCTCTGACATTGATGGAGCAGACTC